TGTGGGATTACAGGCATGAGCCACCGTGCCCGGCCTGTTTTTTGTTTTTCTAGTAGCCATTCTAATGGGTATGAGGTAGTATTTCATTGTGGTTTTGACTTGTGTTTCTCTAATGATTAGTGACATTGAGCATCTTTTTGTGTGCTTACCTGCCATTTGTATAATTTATTTAGAAAAATGGCTATTCAAATCCTTTGCCCATTTTCTCTGGTTTTGGTTTTATTTTTAAATAGATTCGGAGTCTTGCTATGTTTCTTGGGCTGGTCTCAAACTCCTGGGCTTAAACCATCCTCCTGCCTCAGCCTCCCAAGTAGTTAGGACTACAGGTGCACACCACCATGCCCAACTTCTGCCCATTTTAAAATCAGATCGTTTTTTGTTGTTGAGTATAGGAGTTCATGCATCTGGATATTAGCCCCTTAGCAGATATGTGATTTGTAAACAGTTTTTCCCATTCTGAGGCTGCCTTTTCACCCTGTAGACTGTCTTCTTTGATTGTAGTTTTAAATTTTGAAGTAGAACAATTTACCTATTTTTTCTTGTTTTGTCTGTGCTTTCGGTGTCGTCTGAGCACGCAATTTTAATGATAAACAGAGCAAGCACTACCTGAGCACTTCGCCTTCACAAAGAGGCAGTGCTCCCACCAGGAGACTCAAATTCTGCTCCATCACGAACGCTTCCTACCAGCCGACAGTGTCAGCTGCTCAAAGGATGCTGGAGGTCAACAGGAGCTGTGTTTTTTTCTTTTTGGACACAGATTGTTGTTCTGCCGCCCAGGCTGGAGTGCAGTGGTGTGATCTCAGCTCACTACAACCTCCGCCTCCTGGGTTCAAGTGATTCTCCTGTATCAGCCTCCCAAGTAGCTGGGACTACAGGCACATGCTGCCACGCTCAGCTAACTTTTGTATTTTTAGTAGAGACGGGATTTCACCATGTTGGCCAGACCACAGGTGATCCACCTGCCTCAGCCTCCCAAAGTGCTGGGATTACAGGCATGAGCCATTGTGCCCGGACAACAGCAGCTGGTTTGATAAGCTTCTTGGCAATAGTCGGTGCCACCTTTTACCGAGGAGCATAACTCTGATCACTGTCTCTGTAGTTTGGGTTTCTTCCCAACCTTTAACAATGGAATTCATCAGTCTCATTCCAGAATGTATTCTTGTGCTGGAAAAATGTGCTTGGCTTATGGACAAGATTACTGTGCTTCAGTTGAAATCGATTGAAATATTTGAAGTAATTGAAATATTTCACTGTGTTCATCCACTTTTTGACAATGTTCTTTTATAACAGGTAGTGCGTGGGGATCAGGCAGGTATAACTCACTGGCCCAGGAAAATCCAATTTTTATTGTGCCACTTTTCACTCTTTTTCTTCTTTTTTGTTGCTTGTGTAAAATCATCATCCTTGAAGAGTCATTTGTTCCAGCCCATACAGACAAACACTGTTTTCACACTGGAATCCCACTGTCTTCTTATACCAAGAATGTTTTTTCTTTTTTCTTTTTTGGAGATGGAGTCTTGCTCCATGTCCCAAGCTGGAGTGCAATGGCACAATCTCGACTCACTGCAGCCTTCACCTCCTGGGGTCAAGTGATTCTCCTGCCTCAGCCTCCTAAGTAGCTGGGATTACAGGTGCCCACCACCACGCCTGGCTATTTATTTTTTATTTTTAGTAGAGATGGGGTTTCACCATGTTGGCCAGGCTGGTTTTGAACTCCTGACCCCAAGTGATCGACCCACCTCAGTCTCCCAAAGTGCTGGGATTAACAGGTGTGAGTCACCGTGCCCAGCCAGTAATGTTTTTCTGATAGTGGAGAACATGGGCTCTGGAGTCAGACTGCTGCATTTAAATCTAGTCTCTGCCATGTAATAACGGTGGCTTTTGTCTCTATGTGGTTTTGCTTCCCTAACTGTAAATAGGGCTAATGATGGCACCTAACTCCTAGCATTGTTGAGAAGATTCAGCAAGTCACATATAAAGCAGTCAGTGCCTGGCACATAAGTGCCATGTATTATTTATTTATTTAGAGACAGGGTCTTGCTGTTGTCCAGGCTGAAGTGCAGTGGCACAATCACAGCTCACCATTGAAGCCTCGAACTCCCAGTCTCAGGTGATCCTCCCACCTCAGCGTCCTGAGTAGCTGGGACTACAGGCACATGCCACCGTGCCAGGGTTTTTTTGTTTTTGTTTTTGTTTTTTGAGAAGGAATCTCATTCTGTCGCCCAGACTGGAGTGTAGTGGCATGATTTCAGCTCACTGCAACCTCTGCCTCCCAGGTTCAAGTGATTCTCCTGCCTCAGCCTCTTGAGTAGCTGGAATTACAGGCACATACCACCATGCCCAGCTAATTTTTATATTTCTAGTAGAGACAAGGTTTCACCATGTTGGCCAGGATGGTCTCGATCTCCTGACCTCATGATCCACCTGCCTTGGCCTCCCAAAGTGCTGAGATTATATGGGTGAGCCACCTTGCCTGGCCAGGGTAATTTTTTAATTTTTTGTAGAGACAGGATTTCACCATGTTATCCAGGCTGGTCTCAAACTCCTGGGCTCGTGATCCACCCTACTCAGCCTCCCGGTGTTGGGATTACAGGCATGAGCTGGCCTTAATACACAGCCACAATCAGAATGAGTGTATTAATACTTTTTGATTCAATGAAGCACTTTAAGCTTGTGGCTTATTTGGAATTAAAGATATAAGACAACACAATAATAACCATCCCTTCCCCATGGGCAGTCACTATCCTGACTTCGGCATTTGTCATTTCCATGCATGTTTTCACACATTTACAACATATGTATCCATAAGCAATATATGGTGCTCTTTGTGAGGTTTCAAAGCTTTATGTAAATGCACCATCCTGTCTGTATCCTCCCATACTGTGCCCTTTTCAATCGTCACTAAGTGTCTGAGATTTATTCATGTTGATATATGCAACTGTATGTCAGGCATTTTTAACTGCCTTAGAGCAAATTCACCATTGGGTGAATATACGATTTATCTGTCCTCTTGTTGATGGGCACTGGGCTTTTTAAAATTTGAGACTATTTATTCTTTTCTTCCCAGGCTTGGCTTGGATTTGTCATCATCATCATCACCATCATCATCGGCTGAGCCCTCACTGCTTCTTGGGAGCCGGGCTCAGCTTCCTGCCTCCACGGGCACTACAGGAGGGAACAAAGTCACAGTCAGGGTCATGTAGAAAGAGGCCAAGGATGGATTCGACCCAGGTCTGCTGATGCTCAAGTCTGTGTTCCTAGCCACTCTGTCCTCTGCTTCCTTAGGAACAAATGCTTGGTGTCATTCTGAGGTGGGTGTCCAGGCCCCTGGCAGTCTCTGCTGAGTCCCACAGCCAGGACCAGGGCCTCTGGAAAGGCACAGTGCCTGGCTGCAGCTGACAGGCTGGCGTTAGAATGGCTCAGTTAGTGTTGCATCCTTTGGGTTGTTTCGGAACTCTCTGCTCCTCCAAGGATATTTAACACCATTGGAGACTTTAGCGGAGTGACCCATGAGTTCCATCTCTGCTGGGTAACACAGGAGGACCAGGGCTTTGGCCAAGAACCTAAAAGGCCACAATCATTTCCTCATGGGTGGCAGTGAAGGGGTGGAATAGAGAGAGGTGATAGAAAGCTGGGACAGAAGACTTCAGAAATAACCAGGCAGATACTGGAAAGCCACTCCCATGAGCCTGGAGGGACACATGATCCTGAGAAGCAGCAAACAAACAGTGCTGATTTTGCTTTAATGTAAATTCAGCTGAGAACAATTTAGAATTTAAAAAATTCCAATCTTGGATCTCGTTCCAAAGTCTTCTGTTTACTGGTGAACTAACGATAAAGACAATAGGGGCCGGATATAGTAGCTCACACCTATAATCCCAGCAGTTTGTGAGGCTGAGGCGGGCCGATCACTTGAGCCTAGGAGTTCAAGACCAGCCTGGGCAACACTGTAAGACTCTGTCTCTACAGAAAAATACAAAAATTAGCTGGGCACGGTAGCGTGTGCCTGTGGTTCCAGTTACTCACGAGGCTGAAGTGGGAAGATCACCTGAGCTTGGGAGGTTGAGGCTGTGATTGGGCCACTGTACTTCAGCCTGGGTGAGGGAGTGAGACCCAGTCTCAAAAAAAAAAAAAACCCAAAACCCAAAAAACAACAACCAAGACAAGACAGTGGGTGTTGGGGAGTGGACTCTGTTAATTTCTGCATCTCTCTGAGCCTCAGCTTCCTCATCTGTAGACAAGTATGTGAGGGGCCTGGCATGGTCCAGGTTGTGGCCTCCCTATGAGGCATGTCTCACCAGACTATAGCAGGCTGTGGTGGTGCTAAGTCCACCGACTGGCCTGGAGCTGGTAGCTTTCTCAGTGCTGTAAAGGAGATCAGGATCAGAATGAGAATGACTGGGGAGAAAAAGTAGAGACAAGTCCCTACCAAGGGTCTCGCTCCCCTGGGCCCAGCATTCTAACCAGTTTCCTGTGTGGCCTCGACCCTAACTTATGGGTCCACCCTGAGAGCTGGGCCCACCTCATCGCAGTCTCCTCAAATCATGAGGAAGTTCCAAGACAAGCAGGATACACACCAGCTTTCGTCGTAGAGAGAAGTTCATTACACATGCAGGGTGGATGGTGCAGCAGCAGGGGCAGAGAAGAGGAGCAGTAATGGTGGTGAAGTGACCTCACTGTGTGCCCTAAATACACCACATGACTGGATAGGGGGCATCTGCAAAGATGGAGCCCTGCAGTGTCTGCGTTAGAAAAGCATTCTAGATAAGGACAAACGTGATAGAAGAATGACTTCATCCCTAGGCAGCGCCCTGCTGTGGCTAGAGGCCCAAGACAAGCTCCATGGCTAGTTCCCAGTGTGAGACAGCTACAGATCTAACACAAGCAATGGGGACCTGGGTCCACAAGACTCCATGCCACAGCTTGGGGTGGCTGCCACCTCTGCGATGAACCACTGCAGTTTTCTCCTTCCGCTGCCCAAAAGAAAGCCAAACTGGAGCCCCCTGGACACCAGGAAGGGGTGCCAATTTCTTTATTTATTAGACTCAAATGCTTTAGTACAGAATGGTACAGAGATGATATATGTTTGTGCTTCAATACTTTCAAACACTGAGATTCTGATAATTTTAAGGTAAACAAGTTTCAAGACAGACTAGCTTTTTTAAAATATCCTTTGATAAATTATTATTTTTATATAAATAACAGAGAAAGGGAAACCAACATCTTTGACAAACAAGGTCCTGAAGCATGAGCACTGTTTGGTCCGAGGGAGGGGACAGAACAAGCAGCGGGAGTGAGACGCCCGGCGCAGAGGCCTGCGGTTCTGTCCTAAGGAAATCAGGTCGTCTAAGTCGGGAGGGAGGCAGGGGAGAGATCTGACAACTAATCTCAGTGCAAGGGGAGATTTCAAAGCCTTGAGAAGAGAACACCACGATGCAGCGAGCGGAGAGGGAGAGGGCGAGGCGCAGGCTCTGAAAGGGGGGAGGCCGCAGCGCTGGGCTCGCGTACACCACTTTGCAAGGACATCACTAGACGAGTAATACATACATGGCCTGCAGGAGGTCAAGGGCGGTGAGGGGGCTGGGCAGGGGACATTTTTGTGACTTCCACTGTTATATTTCACGACAACAGCAGCAGCACAAACGGTGTGCTCACCGCTGGAGAATGAAAGCTGCTGAGTCTTGAGGATGGCAAGACAGCCTTCCTGCGTTTGCTGCTTTAGTTTTTGCTTTAGAGCTAAGTTTTATACAGAGAATAAAATGTCTATCTTCTCTTACGAACACGATGACGTATGACCCCAACATGACACAAAATAAGGTATTATAAAGTATCTGAAACTGAGGATAATCTGACTGAAGATGCTTGCTGAGACGGTACAAGGTCTGTGTGAGTCCAATGGTCCAAGGACCTTCTCCACAGTCATAGCCCTTTGCTCAGGGGCCTCCAGAACCCATCTGTTCTTATCCATTCCAGACGCTTTGAACTAAAGCTAACTACAGAAAATGAGCTGTTGGGGTGAGGCCTGGGGACAGAAGGGCCTGGGCCACAGGCACTGGACTAATTCCTTTTCCAAAGACATGCAGGCTTCCGGCAGGAGTTTGCTTCTCATTTGTCAGGGTACTGTGACTTAGACTCGAGGACTTCCCTCAGGGTCACAGCACTGTGGACGCAGGCCGGGGAGGGGGTACAGACAGGTTGTGGAGGAGGGGACACTGGTCTGGCTTCACGTGGACACCCCAGCCTCCACCCACAGCCGCACCACAGGGGGCATGAGATGCTGGGAAAGGAAAAGAGGTCTGTTCCACCTCAGACCTCCTGAGATGTCCCCTGATTGTCACCTCCTGGGTTATTTGGATGAGAGCAGGCACGAGGGGTAGGGACTGGAGTGAAGATAACAGATTAATCCTCAGTGTGAAATACTTCAAGAACACAGACATCTCTATGATTCTCAACAAAGACAGGAACAACCCCAAACAAGGTTTTAAAAACACCCAAACTTCTACCTTTCCATACCCAAGCAATGTGTACATGTCACGCAGGGTTATGTACAAGGTCACAAATCTTAAATAACAGGGAGAAGGTCTCCATCCATCCTAACAGTCCAGAAATTTCTGCCGTGCACTGACTGCACACAAATTTCTTTTTAGGATACATATATAAGATACTCTTTTTAAAAAACACAATGCATTATTTTCTTTTGTTTCAAACGAGAAGAGGGCATCATTGAACACGAGAACGCAGTGGCAACAGTGCCGGCCAGGGCGTGCAGAGCTGGGGAGGCAACAGACGCAAAGGAACTGAGGCGGGTGGTGGTGGGAATCTGCGGAGCGCTGTGGGATGGGGGACATGTTTTGGAGGGGCGACTTATTTTTTTAACTGCTTATTTCTTCATCTGTTTTATTCAGTTTCTTCAGTGTGTCCAGCAGTTTCTGTGGGGTGAGGATGTGCGTGGATCCTGGAGGAGGAAGAGAAGACAGTGAGCTCACCAGTTCTGGTTTCCAACGCTTTTCCTTTCCTGCGCTTCTCCATTCCCAGATCTGCACCCACCCGCCTCCCCAACCCTGGTCGGGTCTAGTGGAAGTAGGGAAGGGAGTGGGGATTGGGGTTGGGGTCCCATCGCAATAGGCCTGGGAGATATTCAGGGGTTGTGGATAAAGAAAACACATCTTCGGGCTCAGGCAGGGTCCCAGGCTGTACCAAGGAACGAGCCACCTTGTCATCAGGGTGCAGAACCATCTGCAGGTGATGGGCAGCTATGTTTCTAATTCACTCTTAAACTCCAAGTGAAGCCGGGCAGAGAAATTCCAAACATGGCAGCAGGGGGAAAGGTTGAAAATGGGGCCAGAGTTGGTAGGGGGCTCATGTGTGGAAAGCATGGTGCCTGGGAGAAGAAGTTGACAGGCAAAGCCCCCTGGGAGAATCCACTGACCTCTGGGAACCAGCTGGTTGACAGTGCCCTGATGGGTGGGACCTCAGGTGTGAAAGGGAAAGGGCCAGGGGACCTGAGGCCTTACCTTGCAGAGACCGCGAATTGTAAGAGATTAGAAATGCTTGCAAAAATTTAAGCTAATGGAATTAGATATACTTCTACTGCAAAAATAAAAATAAAAATAAATGAAAGTCTTTTTCATAAGGAGAGAGAGAGATCTAATAAGTGCAGTAAAAAAAGATGCATGGATCGTGTGGTTTGGACATGGACTTAATCAAACAGAACAGAGGTGACCGGGGTGGTGTGTGAGTGAGCATGAGGCCCGCACGCATGCAGCAGTGGGCTTCAAAGAAAGGTCCTGGTGGAAGAGAAGAACGGAAAAAAAGAGACCCGTACTTGAAAATGTGCCTCCCTGGAGACATGGCAAAGGAATGGGCCTTCACAGGAGCAGGGGAGTGGAAACCACCAGGTGTCGGATTTCCACTCCAAGGGCAGGCAAAAGAAGGCTTTGGCTGGCTCATTTGGCATGACTCCAATACCAGGACCCATATGCCTTTGACCACTACTTGCTCAGCTGACCCAAGACTGCTAGAACTGCAGCCCTTCCTGCTCACTCCAGACTAGCAGAAACTTGGAAAGCCCTCTCTGTTCTTCCAACATCCCTTTCTTTGCAGTTCAGGCCCCAGCTGCCCACTCCCGGCTGAGTAAGGAACTTGTCCTTGGCATGATGCCCTGTGCACGCAGCCTGTAGGTGGCCTGTGCCGGAAAGCTGACTCATCATTCTGCAGACCTGAGGCTCCTTCAGCAAATTTGATGCAGGTTTCATGAGTGTGTCCCTGGGCTTTTTTATAGCGCGCCTTTCCCCTGAAGTCCACTCATTTCTGTGATCTTATCAGTCCTCCTGCTAGTCCTAAAAGAGGCCAAAGGCTGCTATACAAATGAGGAAAAAGGACGCATATTACAAGGCTTGCCCCAAACTCTGAAGCGTGAACCACTGCCAGGATGGGGGCCCTCCAAATTGCAACTCCATGTAGCCCATGTGTCCAGATGCTGGAAGATGGCCTCCTACAGAGCGTGGGGATTCGCTTAGGAGTTTCCTCGTTAAAGGCAAAAGCAAGAAGCACATATGCCAGAGAAAACATCCCCGACGCCCTTCTTAGCCATCCAAATGACTCCGGGAAATAAGAGGGCCAACTCATCTTAGAGGGTGCATCCGAAGGGGTTCCTTTGATCAGATGCTGATTCCAAAGTCCTCCCTATCTTTGCTGATGTGTAAATCTAGGATTTAGGGGAGGCTAACAAGAGGTTAGGAAATTAATACACTAGAAGTCTCTGATATTATCTAATCACTGACAATCCAGGGCTCCCAGTCTTGACTGAAGAAGAAAAATTCTAGGACTGAGTATTGGAGACAATCAGTGAGGCCTCAAAGACCCCTGGCCACAGGCACTGGCCAGGCCTTCACCTACATGGTTTCTTTAGAGGACCAGACTAGCTGGTGTAAATGCTGATCATCAGAAGGCCAACTCTTCATACTCAATTATCTGTGTTGTTTTAATAAATTGGTCAGGCTTTTCACCACCATAAACATTGCAAATGAAGCTGGGTAAGTCCATAATCCCCATTTTGCACTTGTTCTTATTTTGAAACCACAGATGGCTGACCACGTAGGTTTCCAGAATAGAGCAGCAAGTGGGCTCTACGGCTTTGAGGGCCTCACTTAGTCCCTGTAACTGGAAGATTATGAAATGTAAACAGTGATCTCTAAAAACTAAGTTGAGGCTCATCCACATGACTGTCTACATGTTTTCAAAGCTGTGGGCCAGACACAACATGCTCTGATAGGACAAAATCCTTCTTTCTACACTGACAGAATCTGAAAATCAAAAGTGTCCTTGAAGACTAGCTGGTCCAAGCATTCTTGAATTTGGCTGAAGCAGTCCTACTGACTCAGAATATGCAGGGTGGCACCAGAAAATGTGTACGTTTAAGAGCAGCACAGGTGAGTGTGATGATCAGCCAGGTTTGGAAAACTGTGTACTCTGGACCACCCCTCTCATCTTACAGATGGGACACGTGAAGGCCAGAGCAGTCTGGTGCTTGTTCAGCATGGCTGGCACAGATAGGCCTAGAAACCGTGCCCTTCAGGCCCTGTGGCCCCTAGGAGGGGAGGGGATGGGTAGGTGGATGTTTGAATAGCAGCCAGGCAATAGGTGGGCTCTGGACTCAGATTCAAACCCGAGTATCAAAGAAAAATGAAACATGCTGACCCCAATCTGGAATGAAGCAAAATATTCAACATAAAAACTCACAAACTTTCTCCCAAGTGGTCCCATGTACTATAAAGATCTGATTCCGCCTTCAGCTCTCTCTCGTTTGCTTCTGACAGCCTCTTGGGCATTCCCCAATGATGAGTACTTTTATCATCAACCAACCAGAGCAGACAGGTAAAACTCAATCAAAAAATTTCATTTCTTAGACAATGTGGAGGGATGATTGGTGAGGATTTGGTGAGTTATAGTTAGCCCTGACCACGGGGAGCAAGCCCCAGTTACAGGAGAGGAGCCGAGAAGACAGGGCAAGGCACCATCACCCATGCATGGTGCCTGCTAGGAACCCTCTAATTTTCGGCAGGAAAACTCATCTTCTCTTAAAAGATATGTTGGGCCAGGTGCAGTGGCTCACGCCTGTAATCTCAGCACTTGGGAGGCCGAGGAAGGAAGATAGCTTGAGCTCAGGAGTTCAAGACCAGCCTGGGCAACATGGTGAAACCCAGTCTCTACCAAAAACACACAAAAAAATAGCTGGGTGTGGTGGCACATGCCTGTGGTCCCACCTACTAGGCAGGCTGAGGTGGGAGGATCGATTGAACCCAGGAGGTCCAGGCTGCAGTGAGCTGAAATCATGCCACTGCACTCCAGCCTGGATAACAGTGTAACTCTGTCTCAAAGCAAAAAACGACACAAAAGCTATGCTGCCACAATACTGGTCTTATAGGAGCAAACTCAGGCTTTCTGACGGTCTGCATTGTCCTGTACTTTGGTCACCTGGAAGATCACAACAGAAGAGGGCAAGTCAGACTTAATCTGCATTCTGACCTCACTGGTATTAGGGTTCTGTGCCTCGCTTAACTGAATGCTCTAAAACCCAACATCACTCAGCAAATTATTTCAGAAGCTAGGAATATATGGAACCTGTTTACTTTCTCTTTGTTTTGATGACAGCTGAGACCTCCTCTGCCAATCAAATATAAAGCAAAGGAAAATACTCTGCAAAGGAGAAGTTTGTTCTGAAGCAAGGCAGCCCAGACTTCATCCTAGCAGGAGCCTCTGCAGTTTCAGTCTGTGATTCTTTCAGATTCTACAAATGGTCTGCTATTGCTGCAGACTCAACTGAACATTTGTCTTTCTAGAAGTCTTAAAATACATACTGCAGCAAATCCATCCACCTACCTGCAGTCTGCACACAGAACCAGATGTCTCTGATTTATAACTTATCAAGGTGCTTCTAAGGAATGATTTTTTTTAAAAAACAATGGCTTTCATTCACCACCTACTGGCCCTGCTTTCTGGGGAGGGCCAGCCCAGGCAGGATGGGAGCTATAACCTAGGGCTATAACCAGGTCTACTTTCTGGGTTCCCAACTACTTTCAGTTCCTTAGCACACTATTGCCCTGGTGTTCATGTCAAGGAAGGGAGACAGGAGGACATGAGCAGCATAGCCTCCTGTTCCTACCTTTAGGAGGGAGCACCATTTTCCCTACAGATACAAGCAGCTTCTGATGTCACCTAGCCAAGGTTCTGTTGGGCCATTCTCCTGAGACTCACCAGAGAGCGGAAGAGTGGGCAGGACTGCATGGTTTGAGGCACAAATCCACAAATTGTAATCACTGAATGTACAGAATGCAGAGGTCCTGCGTGCCTGGGGGCACTGCAATCCAGCCTCCCTGTGCTCCTATGCTATGGCCCAGAGAGTAAGAGTGTCTTCCCACAGCCACACAGATGCCCATGGAGGAGGTGGGGGTAGAGGCCAGTCTTCCTGGCTATGAGTCCAGATCTTTCTCCACTACTTACAAGGGACTCACACTCCATGACTCACTGGGCCACATCTCAGCTCTAGTGAAGGGGTTTTTCAGGGTCCATTGTCAATGATGCACACAAAGTCAGGTACACAAAATATGGCCTCTTGACAGAGTATATAACAAGCTAAGGAGTCACTGATGTGATGATGGAAGCCTGCCATTTAAACATGTAGGAGGTTCCCATCATATCTGAAGGATGGAAAGAGAGAGGAGGGAATGCGGACAATCTTGAAGATCAAAATTTGGATAGTCTACCAAGCAGACAACAGGTTTGGGTAAAAGCTTGGTGGAGACAAAAACGCTCTCTAAAACCACACAGAGCATTAATAACAGGTTTATGCTGGGCATGGTGGTGTGAGCCTACGGTCCCAGCTACTCGGGAGGCTAAGACCTCTGAGCCACTGCACTCCAGCACGGTCAACATAGCCAGACCCCATCTAAAAAACAATAGATTTCTACTGAAAGGCTCTCGAGCCTTACCAAGATACTTCAGTGGGAGAGAGACGGGTGTGACTACTCAACTCTTGAAAGGATCCACAGAATTAAAAGTCATTACTAAAAGAACCAACAACTATTAAGTGCCATTTCCTGCAGAGAAACATCAAACAAAAGCTCTTCCTGCTAAAGACTGGAGTTCCCCAAACATATGGTGGCTTGTGACCCAATTACCCCTTATAACTTATTCCTTGAGAAGTGCCTGTCCTAGGAAAAAGGTATTTACACCATCCGTCCAGCTGCCACTGACCTGGGTTCTATTCTGACACTCCCTGCCAAGCTTCCCTCACCACCAGCCATGTCTACCACTGCCTGACTTCCTGGACATGGCGTTCCCGGAATGTCCACCGGCCTCATTCTCAAACTCCCACACCCAGCACAACCAAGACACTCTACATTCCTTATGGGGGCCACAAATTCATCCCAGACCAGCAGGCCTGGGCACTGTGCCTCAGCCATCCTCCAAATGTTCAGTTCCTTCTCTGACAACTGTTCATAGCAGTCATTATCATTTTTGGTTTACACCCAGCGGCCTATGGGCATCTGACTGAGCAGCACGGAACCCAAGGCATGAGTGAGCCAGCAGGTCGGAGCCCGGAGGGTTCATGGCAGGGTTGTGAGGGCAGCACTGGACACATTTTCAATCGGTGTTGAGAACTGCAAGCATTTTCTTGTTGAAACGAAATCAAATAAATAATAAACTAAAAAGGAAGAAATAAAGAAAAAGAGTGACGGAATAATCAAAGAAAGCCCTTCAGAGTGGAAGAGTTTCTTTTCTGTAATAAGCTGCTTTTACTTTGTTTCTTTGGCTCTCACTCCATTGTTGGAGCCTGATCCTCAAAAGATACCCTAGAGGACTCCCTGAAGTCGGGGTGTCTCAGGTCCATGAGAAATTTGGTGGGAGTAAGAATGTGAGTAGAACCTGTGGGAGAACAGAGGCCAGCTGACTGCTTGAACAAAGGTACGTCACAGGAACATGCCAACTTAGGCCTACATTTTATGCAGCCAATGAGGTATGAGAAAGCAAGACACATGTGCGCACATGCACACACGCGCACGCACACACACACACACACACACACACACAAAAGTGCGCAAGCGCACACAGGGCAGCAAGGCTGCTGGCATGCAATGCACAAAGCAGGGAGGCCACACAGACACAGCGGACGTCAGCTGTCTGCGCAAGGCCCCTCCATGAATCTTCATGGGCCGCTGCATACCCCCAGGTTCCCACCTCCCAGTATATGGAACCTCAAGTCAGGTCTAAAGATGAAGGGGAAGATTTATACCCAAAGCCTAGCTGTGACAGCTTCTGTCCAGAAAAGCTGTGTTTGAGCTCAGAATTATTCACTACATTCATGCAACACATATGCAAGCGAGGAGCAAAGAGCTTTCTCATCAGGGCTACACAACAGAAGGAAAAACAGTCAGGCGGAGGGCTGGTGACCTGACGGAAGCTTGAGGACTGCAGCGGGGAGGTACAGTCTCCCCACTGGATCATGCTATCAGAGGGGCAGCTGACAGCCCCAGGTCCATCTTGAAAAACCCAGGAACAGCCATGTGGACTGGTCTATGGAGTCTACTCCCTTGGATAGCTTAGAGGCTGCTGTGACTTGCTAACCCCAAACTGGAGGTATAAAACCACCACTTGTTATTGAGATAATGACTGTGCCTGGGATTATGAACAGCAGTGGGCACCTATGGGAGGTCAGAGATGCTTTCTAGCTGGGGCAGCTCAGGGCCTCTCCCTGTAGCTCATGTGTAAGTAGCCTGAGAGGCCATCCCTGGCCCTGGAGAGTATAATTCCCCAGTGGGTGCAGAGCACACCCCTCTCCAAAGGGAGACCAAGAGCCCTGGCCTCACTCCTTGCTCAGCATGAGCCTGTTTCCACGGAGGACAAAGCCCAGCCAGGGTAGTGGCTGCTTCTTGCCAGGCAGTGTTAAGAGGGACCACCGGTGGCAGGTTCCCTCCATTTTGTTAAAGGCAAAATAGGACAAAAAGGGAGGCATCTGGAGAAAGCAGGGCTTTTCTTAGCTCATTCATCTTCTTCCAGCCCTAAAAATCAAGAGTCCTCCAATGGCACGAAAAAGGAGAAAAGGCTCCTGCTGCGTTAAGCCAGCTCCTATGAGTCGCTTCCTCTCTTTTGGAAGATCAACAGGAAATACAAGAAAGGGAATGGCAGACCTAAAAAGTGGCTGGAGGTGGCTGGGGGAGCCCTGGGCAGAGTCCAGCAGCTGAGGAGTAGTTTCAGGCAGTACCTGCTTACAGCTGTCCGTCCATCTCCTCCTGACAGGTGAGGAGGGCAGCGACTGACTGCCATTAACTGCCCATTCCTGCCTGGGCATGAGGCCAATGCCAGGAAACTGACTTCATCTTGGGCCTAGTTCAAGGCTGTGAGTGTTACTGACCCCATTTTGTTGGGTAAGGAAATGGTTGGAGAGCTAGAGCTACTTGCTCAAAGTCTCCCACTTGCAGTTTGCAGAGCAGGAATCTGAGCCTGAGTCTGCCGGACCCTGAGATCAGGCACTTCCTACCTCATGAGGTTGCCTTCCAATGAGAAACGCAGCAGGGCAGACCAAGGAGGAAACCCTTCGCCCCTAGCTTCTGTTGTCCACAGTTACCTAGAGACTAAGTTTTGTGGGTCAAGGGAGTCTATGACAGAATGCAACACCAAAGCATGGAATGAAGTCGAGGTGCGATGCAGCGGCGCCTTCTGCTTGAAGCATGGCCACTCACCTATCAGCACCTCCCACTTTCCGTTGGCCTGGGTCACCTCGTAGGCGCAGCGCATCTCATTCAGGCTCACACCCCCAAGGATGAAAATGATGAGGCGGGGGCCGCTGCGGTACTCGCCCGGGGCCTTGTTCTTATGCCAGTGCCCATAACGGGCGCTGAGAGAGACAGAGAGAGAGAGAGAGAGAGTCAGTTTATCTGCACTCACAGCATATTAGCGGTTTGTTTACATATTAGGTTTGAACACTTGTGCCCCAAACAGAGTGGATGCTCAGTGAGTGTTGGCTGAATTGAACTGCAATGCAATTTTCAAGTAGTTTGGTTGCCAGGAGAAGAGTCACTAAGAGCGCCTGTGCTGTGACCTTGTCACTCTTATAAACATGCAGGCGACAGACACAATCAGTTCAGCTCTGACGTTTGCCGTGTCAAGTTCAGCAGCTTCCCCCGGCAAGAGGCTCATGCAGACGTCTACTCCCAAGTCACTCGTGCCTCTGAGCTTGCCTGGGAGGCTCTGCTGTCAGTGCGTAGTGATGACAGCCTAAGATCTGCCTTCAGGCTGGCACACAGATTCCATGAAAACGCGTATTGAGTGAATGCCTCTCGGAGGCCAGGGCCTCCCCAGCACCACATCCCAGGGAGACACAGGCCTTAACCAAGCAGTCACTGTTTAATGGGGTGGGTGGGGAGAAGGAAGTAAGCCCAAATCCTGGTCTGATAAAGAGCTCTGTGCCATAGGGCCAAGCACAGGGAAGCCCTGGAACCCTGTCTAGGCACCACTGGGGAGGCTTCTCCATCTGGAGTTGCCTCTGGAAATCGCAGCATAGCCAGGGAAGAAGAGTATTCAGTGACAGGACTGCTCCCAGAAAGGGCTTCCCTCTGTCCCTGGGCTTCCCTCAATAGCTCTTTACTTTTGACCTAGAAACAAAACAGATGGGTTGCTCCCAGGAGAAGAAAATGAAAAAAATAAGATGAAATGAGCAAGTCCTTTCTGGCCACTGCAATGCTTTCCCCTTCTTCCTGACTCACGACAGCCTTATAGTCACTTTCCAAACCGGAAAGGCACGTGGGGCACTGTTTGGGCCAACAGAGAATCTCAGTCACTTTCTTTCCTTGTGCAATCACTTGCTATCCCGTTCTTGTCACCCAGACTAACTGTGGCACTTGGGATTTTGTTTTTATGTCATGTTTGGCAATAAATGTTTCACCTCTGCTGCATGAGAAGGGCTGCCATGAGAAGATACCACCACAGGCCTCTGGCCCGGCTGAGGCCAAAAATGAACATGGAGAGGAGACGCAATAGAGAAGACAGGCAGGGGAAGGAGAGGAGGGACAGAGAAGTGCACATCTGGGTGCCAGAAGTGGCAGAGCTACAGGGCCAGGGTCGCCCTCTCAAGCTGCTAACTCTACCATCCCAAGTGCGTGCTCAGCCCTGACTGTTCTCGGGAGCCACTGTGTGAAGAGACCACGTGTGTTACCCACTTGTCAGCTGGGGACATGTGGGCTGCTTCCACCCTTGGGCAGTATGAGTAGAGCTATGAAGGCTGATGTGCTGCAATTTTAAACAGGGTGGTAAGGGAAGACTGGAGAAAGTAACACTTGATTAAAGACCAAAGGAGAGAAGAGGCAGGCCACGTAGACATATCTTTTGTTTTGTTTTGAGATGGAGCCTCACTCTGTCACCCAGGGTGGAGTGCAGTGGTGCAATCTTGGCTCACTGCAACCTCCGCCTCCCGGATTCAAGCAATTTTCCTGCCTCAGCCTCCTGAGTAGCTGGGACTACAGGCACAAGCCACCATGCCCAGTTAATATTTTTATAGAGACAGGGTTTCACTATGTTGTCCAGGCTGGTCTCGAATGTCTAATCTCAAGTGATTCACCCGCCTTGGTCTCCCAAAGTGCTGGGATTACAGGCATGAAATACCGCACCTAGCCCATGCAGATGTATCTGGGGACAGATAATTCCAGGCAGAGGGAAAAGTGCAGTGGTATTGAGGCAGACATGAGCCTGACTATTCCAGGAAGTACAAGGATTTGGCTGATGCAGAGTGAGGGAGAGAGGTGTAAGGGATGAATCAGAGAGGAACAGGACGCCGGAGGGGGAAGGGCCATGGGGCCACTCTGTGGACCTGGCCCAGCTGCAGCTGTGGGAAGCAGCGGCAAGAGGGTTCTGGTGGATCACACAGATGCAAAGTGGGACTGCTGTGGAGCTGACATCCAACCAGAGCTGGCCCACACCTGTCCTTGCTCAAGGATTTTCGCCTACCTGACGGCAGTGGTACTGAAGGAGGCAGAGGAACGGGTAGAGATATAAGGGTAGTGCTTGGTGTCAAGTTTGTCCTCAATAGTGTCCTGGAAGGAAAAGAGACAGATATTAGCTTGCCATCTGTCTAAAAAGTGCTGACAGGAACCAAGGCCACATGATGTGTAGAACATGGCACTTGGCAAAACCACGGCCAGGTTTGCAACAACCAGAGCTCCCTTCCCTGTGGCCACAGGTGCCTAGCACAGGGCTCAGTTTCACCAGATGCTTTGTAACTGGCTGCTATACTGAGATAGTCTGCTTTTTGAAAGAAGTTTTTCTTGCCTCTCTTCCAGTTTATTTACTTTCACGTGTACACACACACACATGCAGCTTATGTGAGGCTTTTATCAATGATGCATTCTGTCCAATAAATTCCTGATACTTGCCATCAGCCTTGTAGAAACCAGGCATAAGCAGTGTTTCTCCTGCTCAAAGGAGCCTTACCCCCTCCGTTTTTCAAGTGTTTAATTATCTGGTGGGTGGATTCTCACCATCTACCTCCTGCTGCCTAGAAATCCACACTCCTCCTTGCAGCTCCCACATGAAGCCTATACATGTCTCTTTAAGGGATCAGAGAGGAGGGGGAGAAAAAGGGAGCAGAAAACAAAGGAGGGAATGAGACAGAGGGGTTGGCTTTATCCCAACATGCAAAGAGATATAATTGGTTTCTAGATGCTTCATGTTAACCCATCCTTTTAGTTTGTAGATTTTAAAATGGAAGCTGACGTATTCTATATATTTAAAATACATTTATATTAATGTACAATTCAGTAGGAACACCTGGGCTGCCAGGAATTAACTAAGGGGTCCTGAGAAAAACCTCTTCATTCTCTAGACCTCAGTTTTGTTCACTGATCAAGTTGGAAGTTGGACAGATGATCTCCAGGTCCATCCCCAAAGATCGTGCAGGATTCTATGCAGCATCTCTTCCTGCTACAAGGAGAGAAGGGAGTGACTCCACAGGGCTACTGTGGTGCCCACCACCCAATATACCTTCCAGCCAACAACTACAAAAACACTTGCTGCACTAGAGGCTCTAGACGGATGACACAGCAGCTGAGGGGACAGGACCAACATACTAAAAGACAACTTGAGGCACCTAGCAGCACATGTGCATTAAGGAGTCCAGGGGCAGCCTCTGTGTGCTCGGTGGGCAGATAGGTGGGGCAGTGGATGGAAATGGTGAGACCCAAGAGGGGCTTTGATGGAAAGCAGGATCTGGGAAGGGAGTAGGGGGGCGGTGAGAACGTGCCAGGAAAGGGGCTGGTTTGGGCAGAAGAGAAGAGCCCAATTTGCTGGTTTGTGGAGGCTCAGGGTGAGAGCAGCAGGAGGAGGGCAGGGCAAGGCAGGCAGGGCCGCACTGGGGAGGTGTGCTGTACCACTGCACCTGTGTGGAGATGTGACATCACTCATCTGACCTTTGAGAGGCACTTGGGCCCCTCTGGATGCGGCACCCTAGAGGGATCTCTATTATAGGAGCTGAGTCCTCCAAAATATAATGACAAATAGATCTGGGGCTGTGCTTCTCAGTCTCTCAGCTCTTCATAAACCCCCAGGGCAAGGCACGCCACGAGGGCCAAAGGAGGCCTGGATGCAAATCCTCAAGTGGAGGTAGCACCCGTGAAGTCAGCACCACCTTGCAGAAGATGAAGCTGGAAGCATCCAGGCTGACAAGTCAGGGCCCTGGGCCTGGTTCTTCCTCCCCGCACCCCAGCGCTGACCTCCATGATGTCCTTGATAATCGGGGTCCACCGCGAAAGCTGGTATGTCTGCTCGCTGATGCGTTCTTTCCGCTCCGGCTTGCTCCGGCGACGCAGTGTGGACTGTGTGCACACACACACCAGGTTAGAACCCAAGTCAGGGCCACTTGGGCCCTAGGTGATCTCTGCTACTCTCTGGAGATTCTCTGAAAGACCCCAGAGGCAGCACTGGCAAAGAGTAATGGAGGGGATGGTTTTCCTTGGAATAGCCCAAAATGTGCCCTTTTGGGAACCTGGAGCAAACTTGTTCTTTAAAGTCACAAAAAGGCTGGGTGTGGTGGTTCACACCTATAATCCCAGCACTTTGGGAGGCTGAGGTTGGGGGATCACCTGAGGTCAGGAGTTCGAGACCAGACTGGCCAACATGGCGAAACTCCATCTCTACTAAAAATATAAAAATTAGCTGGGAAGAGTGGCAAGCGCCTATAATCCCAGCTACTTGGGAGGCTGAGGCAGGAGAATCACTTGAACTTGGGAGGCGGAGGTTGCAGTAAACTGAGATTGCACCACTGCATTCCAGGCTGGGCAACAGAGTGAGACTCCATCTCAAAGAAAAAAGCCAGGTATGGTGGCTCATGCCTATCATCCCAGCACTTTGGGAGGCTGAGTGGGCAGATCACGATGTCAGAAGATCAAGACCATCCTGGCCAACATGGTAAAACCCTGTCTCTATTAAAACACAAAAAAGTAGCTGGGCGTGGTGGCGCACGCCTATAGTCTCAGCTACTAGGGACACTGAAGCAGAAGAATTGCTTGAACCTGGGAGGCAGAGGTTGCAGTGAGCTGAGATTACGCCACTGCACTCCAGCCTGGCGACAGAGTGAGACTCTGTCTCAAAAAAGAAAAAAAGGCATAAAAAATGGCATACATAGGTCAAGTACATAAGTGCCATTAAAAAAAGAAAACTCCAGGCAGCAGCACAGTTGCACTGAATGAATGCACCATCTCCATTCTCATTTTGATTCCTCTTGTGAACAAGAGTTTAAAAACACCAAACTGCTAGTTACAGGGCTATGGTCTGGTGGCACCGGAACAGTTATGTCTGTAAGATTCTAGAGGGAGAGTATTTGCAACCCTAGCTTTGTTAGTGCTATGCCTATAGAAGACAAGCACACAGTGGGGCTGGGACGTGCGAGGCTTATGGCAAAGTGCTCTGCAAGGGTCCTGGAAGCCCCACCCCACCTTTTCCAGAGCACATCACATGGTCCAGGCCTCCTAGACAACCTGCCCTGACTTGGCTCTGAACCAACCCAGTGCAAAAGACTCAAAGGTAGCCAAACTGCTAGCTCTAAGTGTCATATTTTCATCTTCACAGGGGGCGCTGAGGCTAAGTTGTCCAAAGGTGAGGCCAGACAGGCCCTGAGACATGACAGATAAAACAGTGGGGACCCCTGTTATGGTTTGGTTCCAAGACAGCTCAGCTTTCACAACTGTGCATGACTCACTGCTGTTCAGGTCTAGGTTCTTGGTTTTGCATCTCTAGTTTATACATAGCTTTACACCTTTATCCCTCTGATTCCGTGTCTCTCTCTCTCTCTTGACGTACGTGTGTATCAGAAGATGCCATACGTCAGTCAGAGCAGAAGCAGACAGATCTGCCAGCTCCCCTCCTTCCTCCCCCCGGAACCTGAGCTGGCCCCTTACGTCAGTGACAATGGGCACGCCGAGGTGAGCCATGTTGGTGATGATCTCACTGTCCTCCGGGGGGATCTGGGCATGCTGGATCAGTTTGTTCAGGTTTTCCTCTGTGATGCCTGAGGACACAAGATACTGATCACCACACCCAGCCCCCATGTACCCAATGGCACCAGCCAGATGGTGGCCCTTCTCCCCTCAGGTTAGTGGACATCGCTCCTCTACCTCATCAGCTTCACTGTAAGTGAGGACAACCTGAGCTTCCCGATTCTCCTTGAGCTACTCTGCCTGAGTGAGGACCATCAGCAGCTGCCCCTCATGGTCTGTTTCCCTCTGCCCCTCCCTCCAATTCTCAGCAATCCCTGCCCACCCCTGCCCTGAATCAAAGACAAATTGGACGAGAGTCTTATTATCTGTCTTTTGGACAATGGACACTCCTGGGCAACTGTGACTGAACTGGGTGAAAGTCAGTTCTTTAAGTGCAGAGGTTACCAATGTGATGCAAGTTAAAAATACCTGATGGGCATAGCGCTGGTAAACTGGCCACAAGGCCAAGCAGCTTTCCCTCTTTCCCCAGCCCCGTCCTCTTTCATCTAATCCATACCATTTATTAACTCTATAATGACGGGGGACATTCAGCCTCTAGCTGCAATGATCTGACTACACTGCATTTCCCCAAACAAAAAGGGCCTCTAGGATCTTCTTTTCCTTCCCCAGTCCATGTCTTTTAAATGACTTCTCTGCTTCGTTTCCTCTCTCTCTCAGTTGTCTTAGTTTCCCCAAGACAGGGCCTGTGCCTTCCGCTAGGTCCCATAGCCCTACCATTCTTCAAAAAGATGTAGAGAAGGATGATGCGGATTTTGTCGTAAGTGCTGACATTGGCATCCAGCAGAATGGGGACGATGGCTCGCATGGGGTCCTTGATCTTCTCCCCCTCGGCATCTGTGCCCATGGCCAGGTCCTATGGAAAACATACCTCGTTGGCCCCATTTCTCTGGTGACAGCCTTAGGAAATTCAGGATCCACAGATGTCCACAACTGCCGGCTTAGCTGGGGAAGGTCTTAAACAGGTGGTTCTATTCTCATAATGCACTACAGTTAGCACAAGTGTGATGGACACTGTTTCCCACAGCATCAGTGAGAGTGGATGAAAGCCCTGAGTGGCACTGCCAAACAGAAACCACAGTGATTTGCCATCATGTTTTAAAGTAGGCTGTTCACTGTAGGTAAGTGACAGTGTATTTGTGCCAACTTCTCAGATAAAGACTCAATCCTGGCTGGAGCTGGTGGCTCACGCCTGTAATCTCAGCACTTTGGAAGGCTGAGGTGGGAGGATCTCTTGAGCCCAGGAGTTTTGAGACCAGCCTGGGTGACACAGCAGAGACCTCGTCTCTACCAAAAATAAAAAAATTAGCCAGGCATGGTGGCATATGCCTGTAGTTCCAGACACTCAGGAGGCTGAGGCAGGAAGATTGCTTGAGCCCAGGAGTTCAAGGCTGCAGTGAGGTGATTGCACCACTGCACTCTAACCTGGGTGACAGAGCAAGACCTTGGCTCATTTAAAAAAAAAAAAAAAAAGCCAGGCGTAGTGGCTCATGCCTATAATCCCAGCACTTTGGGAGGCCGAGGTGGATCACCTGAGGTCAGGAGTTTGGGACCAGCCTGACCACCATGGAAAAAACCCATCTCTACTAAAAATACAAAATTAACCAGGCACGGTGGTATATGCCTGTAATCCCAGCTACTCGGGAGGCTGAGACAAAAGAATCCCTTGAACCCAGGAGGCAGAGGTTGCGGTGAGCTGAGATTGTGCCACTGCATTCCAGCCTGGGCAATGGGAGTGCAACTTCCATCTCAAAAAAAAAAAAAAAAAAAAAAACAAAAAAAACACTAAATCTTGGTAGGCCCTCTGGAGGTACAAGGCCCTATGAGGGATCAAGGCATAAAAGGAAGCACTTGCCTCCCATGAAAAGCACCAGGAATTTAGGATGCCTCTGTGTGGCTAGATTCCTTCCACTCTGCTTCCCTTCACATTGAAGCACTTGCTTTTTGAGTTTGAACTGCTCCAGGGTTTTAGCCTGTTTTTAATCTTTCTACCATGTTTCATGGGTAAGGAAGGGAAAAAAAATCACCCCCAAACCAGCAAATCCAAACCCCAGGAGATGAAGGGGAAGACAAGGGCTCAAAAAGAACTAGAAATGAAAAAGAGTGAAGTGAACATAAGCTCCAGGCCCCACTTCATGATGCAAGCGAGACTGAGATCCAGAGAGAGCAGTACGCTGGTCTCAGCCAACCAGGACTCACAGCTGCAGCTACCTTTGTGGCTTTTAGGAGGTTGCCTGAAGGCTCTCTTTTTTTTCTCAAGATCTCAAGAGTCCACACAAATTATGATCTCAAGTTCATAATCTCTCTCTAGTCTATGTCCCAGGAAGGCAGGACACCTCTCACCGGCCCCTTCACCTTTCAGTTCTACCACCAAGCCTCAACAGACATTTGACTGACAGGACCGGATTTTCATACTGTAAGGCCAATTAAATGCAACTAGTCCAACAATACTTTTGATCACTTCTGAAAATTTGTAAACTTCTGAAATTTAATCCTGAACTGCATTTTTAACTGATTTAGGTATGACCTATTTTCTGGATGGTCAGGTTGTTTTAGAGAGGACACCTTGTGTTTGCTTATAATCCCCTGTAAAACTGATGGATTTCAGCAGGGCTGCTTCCCCTTATGAAATATCCAATGATACAGGACAGGGCTTACAATCCTAAACTGAGCCTGTCACATCAAGCCAGAGGATTGAAATCTTAGCTTCACACTGAGATCCTGAATTGTTTTTTTCTATGAAAGGAGACCAAGCTGAGGATTCAGAAATTTTTTTTGTCTCACTCTGTTGCCCAGACTGGAGTGCAGTGGCACGATCTCACCTAACTACAACTGCCGCCTCTCAGTTTCAAGCGATTCTCCCGCCACAGCCTCCCAAGTAGCTGGGAATACAGGCACCAGGCCGGCTAATTTTTTTTGTATTTTTAGTAGAGATGGAGTTTCACCATGTTAGCTAGGATAGTCTCGATCTTCTGACCACCCGCCTCAGCCTCTCAAAGTGTTAGGATTACAGGTGTGAGCCACTGCACCCAACCTCTTTTTTTTTTTTTTTTGAGATAGAGTCTCTCACTGTTGCCCAGGCTAGAGTGCAGTGGTGCAATATCAGCTCACTGCAACCTCTGCCTCCCTAGTTCAAGCAATTCTCCTGCCTCAGCCTCCAGAGTAGCAGGGATTACAGGTGCCCGCCGCCATATCTAGCTAATTTTTTAGTAGAGACAGGGTTTTGCTATGTCAGCCAGGCTGGTCTTGAACTCTTGACCTGGTGATCCACCCACCTTGGCCTCCCAAAGTGCTGGGATTACAGGCATGAGCCACCGTGCCCGGCCAGCTTCAGAATCTTTTAACATCCTCTCTTCCCTTGGAGATTGAACGATAGTTTTATAATGTTGCAACATTTGAAGAATTAGGATGAATCTAAGCCAGGATTAGTGACTCCACAAGATAACCTTGAAAAATGTCAGCACTGATTTCCCTTTTGCAGATGAAAAAAATGAAACATACAGAAACAGGTACATCAAATAATCATTGACATAGACAGAACTCAAATCCCAAATTCTCAATTTACAATCCTAATTGTGAGCAGTGATGCTTTGGGCACATTTCTGACTGCTGCTGCTCTACCCTCTGTCAGCCTCGAGGTCTCCAAAGCTGGTCTGGCCATGGCAGGAGAATACATTCAAAATATAAAATTCTGCCAGCCCTGTCAATGTAGTGCTCAGAACCCCACACATCTTTCTTCAGTCATTCCAGGGAAAACAGAGCCTTTCAAAATAGGCATGCAAAATCCAAATGGCACAGCATTCCAGACCAATCTAGTCCCTACCATAGACAGTGGAACCGCACTGGCTCCAGAGTTGACACAGCATGATCTAGCAGGCCTTCCCATCTCTATTTCCTATGATTCTGCAGGATGTTCAAGGTCAGATGTTAAAATTCTGCTGAGTAAATGGGCCTGGCAAAAACTTGCCGTGGCAGAAGGAGGAGAGTCCTACCTGCTCCACTCGGCAGAGTTTGTCTACAGTCCCTTGGTAATGCTTCATACAGTCCTCGGCAAGGTGCAGATGGGTGGAGTACTAGGAAAAAGCACAACAGTTTGTGACCAAGGGACTCATCACTGATGCATGCAACAGATAAGCACCTACTATATATAACACAACATTGGGCACCAAGGAGTCTCTAGCCTCAGAAAGGAGGTAAAACGTGTACACAAGTGGGTACACAAAAATCACAAAGTAGAAAGTGTTACATGTCAAAAGAGAGGGACAAACCACATTCTAAAAGAGTGAAGAAGAAGGAAAAATCTTTTATGAGGGTACGTGGCACGATGTTCTTTTTTTTTTGAGATGGGGTCTCGCTCTGTTGCTCACGCTGGAGAACAGTGGTGTAATCTCGGCTTACTGCAACCTTTGCCTCCCGGGTTCAAGTGATTCTCCTGTCTCAGCCTCCCAAATAGCTGGGATTACAGGTGCGTACTACCACGCTCAGCTAATTTTTAGTAGAGACGGGGTTTCACCACGTTGACCAGGCTGGTCTTAAATTCCCAACCTCAGGCCTAGGTGATTCACCTGCCTTGGCCTCCCAAAGTGCTGGGATCACAGGCGTGAGCCACCGCACCTGGCCAATGAAGGTTTTATTAGTACAATGCAACCACAAATTCTTTGATACTCCTCCTTTTAGGAGGCAGAGCTTCATTCCCTCCTTAACTGTACGCTGGATTTAGTAGCTTGCTCCTAATAAACAATGTGGAGGAAGTGATGAGGTATGGATCCAAGATCAGGATATAAAAGGTATTGTGACTTCCTCCTAGTACTCTCTCTCTCACATGGCTCACTCTGGGGAAAGCCAGTGGGGGAAGGAAGCTCAAGCAGCCCTGTGGAGAGGCCCATGTGGTGGGGAACTGAGACCTCCTGCCAACAGCAGGGGAATAGGAAGGACAAAGAGAAAGATAAAGAGGAGAAAAGAAAGTGACAGGAAATAGATGCCTATCCCAGCCTTTCATATCTTTTCTAATAAAAATTGAAGATGCCTAAAAATCTACGAATTTCCATGAATCAATTAGAGTAGTAAGGCTTTGAGAAGTCTTTTTGCAGCTGTTTGTACTCAATGATTCAAACAGATTATTTGGGGCTGCCATACTTTGCTGAGCTCTTTCTGGTACTGAGGCATCTTCTTCAGCATCTGGGACAGGTCCCGCATGGTGGTCTGTAAGGGAAAGAAAAGCACATGGTGTCACTCTAATGGCCCTGATCTTAGGAGGCTTTGCAAGGCTGCTGGGCATAGGACAGGACAGCTGCCCACACTAGGCTTCCCAAATGTATGCTCTGTAACCCTCAAAATGAATCTGTGAAACACAGATTGTGTGTGTTTAGATTTCCAGGGCTCTGGCTCAAATATTTTTTTTTGATCCAAATATAACTGTCTTACAGGTTGGGAACTGAACTCTGAAGTCTAGCAGTTACATTTCATTCTATGCTTATTGGATTAGAAAGCTGTTGAGAGAATAATTCTTGCTGATGAGGAAAAATCCTTCTATCCACTGCTTTTATTCATCCTCAGCCCAAGCAGCCTTAGTATCAAGTTTGCACTTCCTCCTGGCAGAAAGACTGTGGCTGTGTGGACAGGAGGAACACAGGGAGGTCAGAGAGGGTGGGAATCTGTATCTGATGGTTAAGATGGGTCTGTGTGCTTCCTGTGTGAGCCATCTAATCCCATCCATTTAATCACAGCTACTTGGGAGGCTGAGGCATATGAGAATTGCTTAAATTTATTGAATTACTACAATATGCCAGGCACTATTAGGTGTTAGAGATTCAAGGACAAAAGAAAAAAAACAGAATTTCTGATTCACACAGAGCTTAGCATCCGGAAAAGAAGCAAGACAAAGCACTGTAGAGATCAGGCCCCTTCAAGGGGACTTACCAGGTAGTGTGGGTACATGTGGTGTAGGTATCTGCCTAGTCTAAGTAGAGGCCGGGAAGGGTTTCCATGAGGAAATGATGCCTGAGCCAAAGAACCTGGCCAGGCCCAAGGCAAGAGGACCCTGGCATGCCTGGAGCAAGAAGGCATGGCAAGAAGGACAGGGGCAGAGATGAGACCAGAGAGAGGCCTGTAGGGCTGAGGATCTGAGCTTTAGAAGGGGTGTGTGTGTGTGGTGCCAATGGGAGTTATTCTAAGGGGAATGAGAAGTTCCTAAATATTTTAAGCAAGGGAATAATACAACCAGAGTTACATTTTGGTCATTCTACTTCCCTTGACTAACAAAGATATGCCACCTCTGACAAACAGGCAGGATATGGAGAGGCCCAGGTAAGGTAGGTTATAAATTCTAATTTCAACACAAGGTAAAAAAAGGTCTCACAGTTCGTTCTTCTGGCTTAAAATGAATCATGATCCAAAACAGTAAATATTAATCCTTAGAGTAATAAAGAGCAGCTCTCTGTAAACATCAAAATGTAGTGGCTCTAGGTCTGTACATTTTTTGTTTTTTTTTTAAGACAGAGCCTCACTCTGTCATCCAGTCTGGAGTGCAATGGTGTGATCTTGGCGCACTGCAACCTACACCTCCTGGGTTCAAGTGATTCTCCTGCCTCAGCCACCTGAGTAGCTGGGAATATAGGTGCCCACCCCCACGCCTGGCTAATTTTTTGTATTTTTAGTAGAGATGGGGTTTCACCATGTTGGCCAGGCTGGTCTCAAACTCCTGACCTCAGATGATCCACCTGCCTCAGCCTCCCAGGGTACTGGAATTACAGGCGTGTGACACCACACCTGGCCTGGATCTGTATCTTAAATCTAAAAATGGCCAGGCATGGTGGCTCAAACCTGTAACCCTAGCACTTTAGGAGGCTGAGGCAGGCGGATGGCTTGAGGTCAGGAGTTTGAGACCAGCCTGGCCAACATGGTGAAACCCCGTCTCTACTAAAAATACAAAAAATTAGCCAGGCGTTGTGGTGGGCACCTGTAATCCCAGCTATTTGGGAGGCTGAGGCAGGAGAATCACTTGAACCCAGGAGGCGGAGGTTACAGTGAGCCAAGATCACACCACTACACTCCAGCCTGGGGGAAAAAAAAAGTAAAAATAAGGCAAAATGATGTAAACAAATAGAGGGATATGACCATGCTAACCCACTAGTCCTATTCGGAGGAGGTAGCTTCCCTGCTCTTAGAGAGAAAGCAGGGACTAATTTACTGAACATTTGAGCACTGGCATGGGTTTACCTTCTCTCCAGTATTCATTCTCTTGCTAGAAGAAAAATCTTTCAGAGACCGGGTGACTTCCCTGGAAAACAAAAGGAGGCAGCTAAGTTTCACAGCAGCACCATGGGCCCTACTATGGATGCTATAGGAGTCATGCAATATTTTTTCTTTTCAGGAGTATGTGGTGCGTTTTCCTGCCAGTAAGGTATGCATTTAAAGTTATTTCTGGCCAGGCATGGTGGCTCACACCTGTAATCCCAGCACTTTGAGACCAAGGTGGGTGGATCACTTCAGACCAAGGCGGGTCGATCACCAAGGCGGGTGGTCAAGAGTTCAAGACCAGCCTGGTCAACATGGTGAAACCTCGTCTCTAATAAAAATGCAAAAATTAGCTGGACGTGGTGGTGCACTTCTGTAATCATAGCTACTTGGGAGGCTGAGGCATGAGAATTGCTTAAACCTGGGAGGCAGAGGTGGCAGTGAGCTGAGATTGCGCCACTGTGCTCCAACTTGGGCAACGGAGTGAGATTCAGTCTCAAAAAAAAAAAAGAAAATATTAGGATATCTACTTAGGTTTATTTTACCTAATTCTTTTCAAATTTATGTTGGAATATAAATAGTGAAACATAATTCATGTTTAAAAAATATACAAACATATAAACATGTGGTAAATACACATATAAGTCCAATAAAGCATATTTTAAATTCATAAATACATTTAATTTACTGAAATGTGAGGTTTTTTTTTTTTTGAGACAGTTTTGCTCTGTTGGCCAGGCTGGAGTGCAATGGCATGATCTTGGCTCACTGCAACCTCCGCCTCCCGGGTTCAAGTGATTCTCCTGCTTCAGCCTCCCGAGTAGCTGGGACAATAGGTGCACACCACCATGGTCAGCTAATTTTTGTATTTTTAGTAGAGACGGGATTTTACCATGTTGGCCAGGCTGGTCTCAAATTCCTGACCTCAGGTGATCCACCTACCTCAGCCTCCCAAAGTGCTGGGATTATAGGTGTGAGCCACCATGCCAGGCCATGGGTTAATAACTTTTTAAGTTGAGTGATCGAAAACGTTTAGAGACCTCTTCTCTAAACAACAGAACTATCCAAGGCTGTATTATTTTCTCATTCCTCCTTGGGAATTTCCTCAGTATATCACCAACTCAATGTAGCAGACTGTGTCTTTCTGAAAAAGCAGAATCATTATCTATAGTTTAAAGGTCTTACAACAATGTTTAAATATTAGAAACATTCTGAAACATTTTCAAAGCTGGGTACAGTTTAGTAGGGAGACATCAGCTATTGCTCAGGACAGGTAAAACAGGGAGGGTTGCATACCAGCTATAAAAAAGAAAGTCCAATTGTATACTGTGGTGTTTGGGTCTTTCAATGGAATGAACTAGCTTTAAATTTTTAATGTTTGTAAAGCATTTTTCTGAGAGAGCTATATATGTTTTTCCAAGAATCTGAAAAGCAGCCCAATACAGAATTGATTTTCTACTTCATGAAGTTGGAGTGGCTCAAGCTCAGAGAACAGAAGGGATTTATCATTATGGGTTAGCACGCTGGTGACTCTGCCAAGGAAATGAATTCACACAGTGATGAACCCCCTCGAGGTGCCCAGAGTGAGCGCATCATCAACAGCAGCTGGGGAGAGGCACCTTGCTGGAGAAGGGGGCAAGGGGCTCTTACTGGGACACCTCAGCGATGTGCTTGTGGCGCAGTGCTATCCACAGGTCGTCGTCCTCGTCTAGGAGCACCTCCTTCACCCGTGCCTCCCCAATGCCGCTCGTCTCATACCTACAATGGAGACAGGACTCAGGTGGAGCTCATTGTCTCCACAACATTCATCGAACCCCTTCAGTTTACAGCAGCAGCAGCTCACTGCCCTCAGCTGCCAGATGTTCACAAGTGCCGTCACAGCAAGTCCGGACCATTGGACATGTCAGCCAGGCCTGCTGTGGCAGCACTGACCCAGGCTGCAATTCCTTGGGAAGGAGAGACTCAAAGTCAACCAACTTCAAATTCTGTCTTAAAATCTTCTGGGTCAGCTGATACAAGCTCCACATGAGCCGCCTGGTTCAGGGCATGAAGTCAGGTCACACGTGAGTTTAGTTATTTATAGGGGAAAGGCAAAGATCATATCTGTCCCTCTGGAAAGGCACTGCGATGTCATCCTCAATATGTGTGGTACCTAAATAGCTTCCAGCAGCTGCCTGCAATGGGCCCTCGGCACTCGATCACATGGGAAATCATGAACAGCTGGAGGAAGCACAAATTATAGCTACCAAAAGGGAGAACTGAGACTCATATTTTTAGAATCTTCATTTTGAAACCACTATCTTTATGATTGATGCTATTAAAATAAATGCCATGAGAACAATGTCTGTTCTTACACAGTCTGATTCTCATACAGTCTAGTTCCATAAAAAGAAAAACTGGTTTTTAGAAAGTAAGTTTCTGATGATTGTTACCAAGAAAAATGTATTTTATAAATGAAGAAAACAGCTCCTCTGTAAGGAAAGTTCGGTATGAAACTTCTGTTGATGTATTTCATCATCATCATATTTCATGATCTATAAACAAGAAGTTTCAACTCTGCCTCCAGAGAGGCAGAACCAATAAAACAGAAAAAAAATTTCAACTCTGAATGAGATTAACACATAAACACAAAAATCAACATATTGACATATCCACGTAGGTTATGAGCTGAGGTGATATAAGCTGGGAACCAAAGACCTGAAGTGCTTGTCCTCCCCAAAAAGGGGACAAGTCATGAGTTCATGCCTAGAAGTGCCATGTGGATTTGGGGAACTTGCAGAAGAACTTACAGGCTAATCTGCAAGGCTGTATCAATGAACCACTTTTCCCAGGGCTAAAAACTCTTTCTCGGCTGGGCACAGGGGCTCACGCCTGTGATTCCAGCACTTTGGGAGCCAAGGTGGGCAGATCACGAGGTCAGGAGTTCGAGAACAGCCTGGCCAGCACGGTGAAACCCCATCTCTACCAAAAAATACAAAATATTAGCTGGGCATGGTGGTGCGTGCCTCTAATCCCAGCTACTTGAGACCGAGGCAGGAGAACTGCTTGAACCCAGGAGGCAGAGGTAGCAGTGAGCCAAGATTGCACCACTGCACTCCAGCCTGGGCAACAGAGTAAGACTTTGTCTCAAAAAAAAAAAAAAAAAAAAACCACTCTTTTTCTAGACATATTTTTGGTTCATGTGCAGAGCCACATGCACTCCAGGGTCTGTAACACTATACTCACTTGTATACATCATTTTCGATAGGCAGCAGATCATAACTCATAGCCTGAAAAGTCAATTCATGGAGCACGGGGGAGCTGGGGTCAAAGCCTCGATCCAGGATCAGGAGCTGGGAACGTGCCTTGTCTGGGCCCTGGGGGAAAACAGTGAGATGCTTCACAAGCCACCCAGCCAACCCCAGCTTCTCCACCTAGCAAACCCCTCTTATAAAGGAGGGCAGCAGGAAGTGAACTCTGAGGTGCAAACCTACTAACGCAGCACAGAAGTCTACCACTAGACAAGATCACTAAAAATACCCTGCAAGACTCCAGTATTTCTATTTCATAACAAGAACACTTACAGACAGATATGAAATGCTAGGAGCCGAAGTGAGTTTCTGTAGGAGAGTGCTGCCCAAGTTCAACTACAAATGTGGCAACCACCCTCCAGTGTGCCTGGGACTGAGCGGATTCCCAGGACATGGGACTTTCAGTTTTAAAATCAAAGTGGTGAGGGAACAGCTCTGCATCTTGATTGTAAGATGGTTCATGAATATAACCATGTGATAAAACTGCAAAGGACTGTACACACAGAGCACATGTAAAAACCAGTGAATGCTGAATGAGCTCTGAAGAGCACGTCAGTGTCGATTTTCTGGTTTGCTATTGTGCTTCTGGGGGTTTCCCAGGCCATTTGGAGCTGCAGCTGGGAAAGCCCTGGCAAACAGAACAAGTTGGTCACCCTGGCCACACTGAATACATGTAGATCACCCTGCCCCAGGGGCTTCAGGCATTTCATTGGAGGTCAGTCCCCAGGAAACGCAGCACTGACATATGCTCTGTGGCAACAAAACCAAGCTGTCTCTGGGATTGTCACACAAACACTGTGGTCCTTGGTGAGATAACCACGTGTCCAAGCCAGACTTACCTCCCCCATTGTTGGGTCATCAGCTTTATAGGCATCGAGCTTGTCCTGGATTAGCTGAGCCAGCAGGGCATTGTCCTTGTATTCCCTGACAAAGGAGGAGTGACAGAGCATGAACCACCCAGCACCCATGATGGTGCTGACTGCCCCGGGAAAGGAAGCCAAGAAGTACAGGGAGGGCTAGGGGAGATGTGAGCATTGTCTGTATTTGTGTTTTTACAGTGAGAGTACATTTAGAAAGGAAAAGCAAAATAAACACTGAGCACCTGGATCATAAATAAGTGGTTGTGATTTTCTTATTGCTTTTTTCCAAAATGATCTAAGTGGAGACGGACGTTATCTTTCGAAGCAGCTTCAGATAAACCACCGCACTTCTGTTGGGGAACCTGACTAGTCAGTCAACCTTTTGCCATGATCAGGCCCTCAACCTGACTCCCATGATTCTCACTTCCCTTCAGTTCACATTCCCTTTGGTCTTGTTTTGTTTTGTTTGTTGGAGAGTGACATTTCAGCTGGCATGGCTGAAACAATGTGAGAACCTTTGAACCTTTCCCAATGGCTGGGTCTGACAGCACTCCCTGTGTAGGGGGGAGACCCCATAAGTGCTGAGGCAGGAGCCAAAAGCCTCAGCCTGTTTCCATATAGATAATAAAGAGGAAAGTAACTAGAAATATAACCATAGTAGTTATTAGTTATTCATAGGTGATCTTAATTCTTTTACTAATGCCACTCAGGTCAGAAGTGTGAACCTGGGGCGACTTTGTGAAGTGAATGACTCTAAGGCAAGATGCTTTAAGCCCTCTGTCACACCCCCATAAGGGCTGCTGGAAGGCCCTTTGTTTCTCCTGCAGTGGCCTCCTATTTAGCCACCCTGTCTGGTTTTTCCTTGCCCTGACTCCTGCTCATACTCCAGCCTTCACTCTCCCACAGCACTGTGGTCATGCCCCTGTCCAAATCCCCCATAGGTTTCCAGTGATAACCACCAAAGGATGTAATACCAAACCTGGCATCTGAGACCTCCAGAATTGGCCTTGTCCCACCCCACTCACTGCCCAACACATACTGTGCTGGACTACCCATCTTCCCCAAACGTGCCCCACATTTTCCCAACTCCAAGTTTTTGCTTATACCAAATGCAAAAGTCAACTGTCCACACAAAATGCCGGCCCCTCTCTCCTCATCAGCCTAACATCACCTGTGATTTGCAGATGGGCTTCACCCTTGGCTCAAAGGGCCCTCTCCCTACTGGGGATGCCCCGAGCACTTGGTCTGTCCTGACTTGAAGGGTGGAACCTGCAGATGAGCATCTCTCATGAACACACATGTTGGAAGGCACGGACCACCCATCCTCCCTGATCACAAGCCAGGTCTCCAGCTTCAGGTGCCCCCAGCACTCAGCACAGAGCAAGCAAGTAAGGAATGCTTGGCTTTATAAAATCTGAGGAACATGTCCTTTGGAAAATTATTTTCTTTGGATTTTATCTTACTCTGAAACATCTTTTGTAAATATAGTAATTGTTTTTAAAGATTAGAAAAAGATTAAAAACTGTAGGCAACCTGAGGTACAGTTACATGGGGGTTCACATTTTAGTTGTTCAATAGTTGATTTGATTATATATCTTTTATGCTTTTTTTTCTGCATGTATTATTATATTTCACTATTACATTTAGAAGATATAACGATTGGAAGAATAATTTTAAGTGAGAGAAGCTCAAATCCTGATCTTCTTGAGATAACTGTCAGAGGAACCTTAGGGCCAGAGGAGGAGTCTGAGCCAGCTCCTCACTTGGGGGACACACAGGATGCCACTCCAGCAGACTGATGCACTGCCTTACCCCCGATACCGCACAGCCGGGTACTCCTTCAGGGTGGCACACAGGGTTGCAATCTGCTCTGCCAGGCGCTCCAGTATAGGATTCTTCATCTGAGCCTTGTGGGGACTGTAGAAGCTTTGGAAAGAGTCAGCAGAGTCCAAGGAATAGACCTGGGGAGGAGAAAAAGTGTTAATATATAGTGAGAACGATCAGAGTATTCTCCAACTCTGGCAGTGTAGAAGAAACAGGGTTTCTTTTACAAATATGTGCTGGGTGCCTACCATGTGCCAATGTGATAAACACTTGGGGACTATTAGTGACCAAAACATCCCTGTCTGCAAGGAGTTTGCAATCTAGCAGGAGAAAGCAGACAATAAACATAATGAAAAGCAAATTGTGTGGTACTGAGAAACTGATAAGTATATGAGAAAATATCAGAGCAGGGGAGAATGCCCAGGAGAGCTGGACAGGGAGGACACCAGGACTTGCTAAGAGGATGACATCCGAGAATGGCTTGAAGACGGGATGTTTATCACCAGCAGGGGACTTCCACATGGAGGGAACAGGTAGCGCCAGGGACCTCAGGCAGGCGTGTGCCTAGGGTTCCTGGAGAACAGTGACGAGGCCAGGAGGAGAGCAGAAGAAGGGGTTAGTGTGAGACTACACTGGCCATTGTAAGCTTTGTTCCAATAAATAAGAGACAAGCCAGATACTGTGCTGTGACTGTGGGCAAATAAAGGAGCTATTTATGGATTTAATAATACCTTATCCTCAGTAGCATGTTGTAAGTATTTATCTTTTCTTTTTTTTTTTTTCTGGAGTGTTCTAGAAGTTGAGATTCTCTCTTAAACAACTGAGTCTTCCAGTTATCAATATTATTTCAAATTCTCATTTATATAAACTACCTGAATCTTAAAAAATGGTATTTAAGGCCGGGCGCAGTGGCTCATGCCTGTAATCCCAGCACTTAGGGAGGCCAAGGCCGGTGAATCACAAGGTCAGGAGCCAGCCTAGCCAACATGGTGAAACCCGTCTCTACTAAAAATACAAAAAAATTAGCCAGGCATGGTGGCATGCACTTGTAATCCCAGCTACTGGGGAGGCTGAGGCAGAAGAATTGCCTGAACCCAGGCGGCGAAGGTTGCAGTGAGCCGAGATCGCACCACTGCACTCCATCCAGCCTGGGTGACAGAGCGAGACTCCATCTCAGAAAACAGAAAAAGGTATTTAAAAAAGAGTTTATTACTTTCTTAAAATTTCTGAAATATAATATTGTTGAATATGCTAAAGCTGGATTTTGTTCTATCCAGGTAAAGACGGAATACACAGAAAAAAAAAAAATTCCTTCCCTCAAGCAGGAGACAGGCTTTAGGCCAAGTGAGAAGGGAGCCTGTTTTAAAATGTTCACACTATAACTTTTCCATCTCTCCTTCTCTAAGAATAGGTCACTGGTGTCTTGAAGCTGATCTGTAAAGATCTAATATGCCACAATCATATTTTAGCTCCATAAAATGCATCAAAATCCTGTTGTTTTTGTTTCCTTGTTTGCTAAGAGAAGACATTTTAACATGCTCTTAAAGTACCAAGACAAATTGTGTCTGTTCTCTCACAATCAGCTTCACCTTTATTTATTTAATAACTTTTGTTTCTTTCCAAGGGAGAGCTTTATGGCCCTTGCATTTGGCACTTGAAGTGTTAATGACTAATGACGAAGGCTGCCATCTGCTCTTGCAGCACATGACAAGCTGAGGTTATCTCCACGTAAAGACAGTCTCCTTCGCAGCAGATGGGATGCTTCTGCTCCCCTCCCTCGCTCTCCTTCCAAGCTCGTTTCTGATTGGCTACTCTGTGGTTATTCAAGGAGTCAGCCCACAGGAGTAAGCACTGAGAGCATGGATGAAATGCACACAAAGAAAGGCACAATGGCTGATGCAAAGTCAGAAACTGGAGAGTACCACAAGGGCAGGGGGCAGGCCGTATGGAATACTATTTCCATTCAGTAAACATCCAATTATAACCTGTCGTTTGGCAATTCAGAGGATAGTACCTTCCCTCCCCCACTCTTTGGTAGGTCCTGACCCACCCTCTCAGAATAAGAGAAGATGCAGATTTCCTATGCACCCCTGCTCAGGCTCACCTGGGATTCATACGGGAGAAATGCAATATTGATTTCCGTCAGAGTTTTGATGACTTTGGCTGCTCGAGATTTTACCAGTTCATTAAACAGGGCATCTGGACAAGCTGTAAGCATGACAAAAGACAGTTGGCTTTCCTGTCCATTTGCTGGTTCATTTAACAGCTGCACATGTACAGTGGGTTCTTCTTCATTTTATTAGAATTGTTTTTTTTCTTTGACATGGAATCTCGCTCTGTCGCCCAGCCTGGAGTGCAACGGGGGGATCTCGGCTCACTGTAACCTCCGCCTCCTAGGTTCAAGGAATTCTCCTGCCTCAGCCTCCCCTGCCATCAAGCCCAGCTAATTTTTGTATTTTTGTAGAGACAGGGTTTTACCATGTTGGCCAGGCTGGTCTTGAACTCCTGACCTCAGGTGATCCACCCGCCTCAGCCTCCCCAAGTGCTGGGATTACAGTCTTGAGACACTGTGCCCGGCCCATTTTATTACGATTTTTAAAAGAAAACTAGGAAATTCACTCCATCCTAAAATATTCAGTACTTCTAGGGCAAGCTTTTCCAACCCACAACCCAGGACAGCTTTGAATGCAACCCAACACAAATTTATAAACCTTCTTAAAACATTATGAGATTTTAAGGCTGGGCATAGTGGCTCATGCCTGTAATCCCAGCACTCTGGGAGGCCGAGATGGGCGGATCATGAGGTCAGGAGATTGAGACCATCCTGGCCAACATGGTGAAACCTTGTCTCTAAATAAATAAATAAATAAATAAAATTAAAATTTAAAAAAATTATGAGTTTTTTTGTGATTTTTTTTCAGCTCATCAGCTATCATTAGTGATGATGTGTGGACCAAGACAGTTCTTCCAATGTGTCCCAGGGAAGCCAAAATATTGGACACCTCTGCTCTAGGGTATAAAAGGAATGTGAAACCACCTGCATGGCCTTCAATAGATAATAGAAAAACAAATGGCCATACAGATTGAGATACTGAAAGCTAATCAAAGCTATTTTCTAATACCAAGAAAAGGAAGGAAAAAACAAGGCTGGGTGCAGTGGCTCATGCCTGTAATCCCAACACTTTTGGAGGCTGAGGCGGAAAGATTGCTTGAGGCCAAGAGTTCGAGGAAGGAATAAAAAACAGAAGAGATTAAGAAGGGGCAATGACAAGGCCTTTAGTATAAATAAATACCACACATCTAATATGTTAAGGATTAATGAAATAAGAAAGAAAAGTGAAATCACTAGAAATGTGATGCAGGCATTTCCCCCAGAACTTTGAGCTCAGCAGCACAGAAGTCCCCCTTGATGGGGAAACCATGATTTCTAGGAAATCTCTTGGGCCAAACAAATGGCCTTAGGGTTCCCAGAAATGTGTTACCAGATTCTTATTACTAATGCTATCTGTCTGCTCATTGTCATGCATATTCAAACACTGTAAACTTATTCTTCTGCTATATCCTTTCCACTTTCTCAGTAGTGAGTGCTGTGGGAGTTTATTCCTAGAGAGAAGAACTCTGGGTGAATTCTTACTGTTTTATACTCTCTAGCTATCCAGGTCAATTCCTCTCTCACTGCTTTTCTGCTAGGATCTGAGCATAAAATCCCCACAATATAAGAAAATTAATTCCAGGGTAATGACGCAGGTTCTTTCTAATACAAAGTGCTATTTTTCAGCAGGAAGGACTGCATAATCTAGTGGGTTTTTATTTGTGTGCACTTATTTTTGTCTGTTATGTAATCTATCTTCTGAAGAGAAACTAGCAGATCGAGATAAGCATGGTAACAACCCATTCCTTCCCTATTGACCTGCCTTAGTTTTGGCTCAGCCCAGCTGTTCAGAAATGCTAACCTGCCTGATGGGGGCTGGGGACAGCTCTCAGTTGTACTCACAGTCAGTGAAGAAGACGTGTGCAGCCCGGTATTTAGCAGTCGGCGGGTCCTTAAAGTCACTGATGAGAGAGTGGACAGACTGTGGACAGGGGGAACAAAGAGGGACCTGAATCCAATTCTAGAGCCAAATGGGACCTGTATCTAAACTGAGTTAAATTCAGTGGCTTCAAGCCACTTGTGCAAAATAGCAGGCGATTTGTGATGCATAATTGTGACACTCACGTTTGGCCACAACCAAGTCCTGAGGACTTGAAATTAGGATTATTTCAGAGTTTAGATGAATAAAGGCCTTCTTGGCTCATTCCAGAATGACAGTATCAGTTCTTTGGAGCCACCATAATTAGTTGCTAGGAAGACACCCACAAAAAAGGAAACCCTCCAGGAGATTCATACTAATGACCTTTTGGCAATGTAGCTGCATCTTTAGAAACTCATATGTAAGCCAGTTTTCAAAGTGAAAAGAAAATGTGAAAATTGGAGGAAGTTTATATAGACTAAGACACCTAAGGCTAGTGTGGTAGCTCACGCCTGTAATCCCAACACTTTGGGAGGCCAAGGCGGGTGGATCACTTGAGCTCAGGAGTTTGATACTAGTCTGGGCAACAAAGCAAGACCCCGGTCTCTACCAAAAATTAGCTGGGCATGGTGGCGTGTGCCTGTAGTCTCAGCTATTTGGGAAGCTGAGGTGGGAGGATCACTTAAGCCTCAGAGGTTGGGGCTGTAGTGAACTGTGATCACACCACTGCACTCTAGCCTGGGTGATGGAGTGAGATCTATCTCAAAAATATGTCCCCTGCCCTCAACAACAACAACAAAATATCCATCTAAGACAAATATCACCCAGAAGCAAGGAAGTGGGTGGACTTTGTTTGGATGGTGACTTGAAGTAACCTCTAAAAATTATAAGACAGGTAAATCTGAACAGTAAAATGAAAGCATAAAATACCAAAGTCTGGAGGTGGACTGCTAATTAGACAGAGTGGATCCTACCTGAAAAGGGAGCACAAGGGGGAAAACTAGAATGATCCAGGGCCACAGAACACAGGCTGTGGTTTTCTGCATAGCTACTGTGTTTAAGAACACTTGATACATTCTTCACTTCTCGCTGCATAAACAGCACCCCCTGCCCTGCCCCATTGTGGACTGCATGCTTAAACAGAGCAGTGTGTTAAATGCATGCTTAACCTAGAAATGTCAGTGTGCCACATAAATCCCAAGCCAGTCCATCTAACCTTAGCCAGAGTTCTCTGGTGGAAGGTTTACCTTCTCAGATGGAGTGATGAGATACACAGCCTCCAGGCTGGGGAGCGGCTCTCTGCGCTTGTTGATATCTTCCACAACTAGACAACGAAACAAACCATAGTGTGTAAGAAGACATGATGGGTGACCATAAAACTAGAAGCAATATAGAGAGGCCACCTTCAGACTGTTGCAGATAAATATCTACAGTGGGGAGGAAACAATCATTCACCCATTCCTTAAGGTTACCACATTCCATGGGAGTGAATTCCATGGTCTCAACATGCCCAAGATGTTAGGAAATCTGAAATCTGGGCCGGGCACGGTGACTCACGCCTGTAATCCCAGCACTTTGGGAGGCTGAGGCGGGCAAATCACTTGAGGTCAGGAGTTCAAGACCAGCCTGGCCAACATGGTGAAATGCCATCTCTACTAAAAAAGTACAAAAATTAGCCAGGAGTGGTGGAATGTCCCTGTAATTCCAGCTACTCAGGAGGGTGAGGTGGGAGAATCACTTGAACCTAGGAGGCAGAGGTTGCAGTGAGCCAAGATTATACCACTGCAGCACTCCGGCCTGGGTGACAGAAGGAGACTCCATCTCAAAAAAAAAAAGGAAAATCTGAAATCTTATCACAATAGGTATTTCTCACTTCCCATTTCAGTTTAAGTAAATTACTTGATCTGTTCTGAGAGAAAATGGAACATGCTATCTAATTCTGTCAAGAATGGGTCCTTTGCCTCTTCCTTCGGCTTTGTATCATCTGCCCTAGATAATTCCAATTCCTTTAGAATTTCCATGTTGGGTTTATTTTTAAACAGTTGGATAGTTTCATTGCTTTCTTCTGCATATCAAATGAAGACATTCCAACCACACCCTCTCTACAATACTGTAAAGTGTTTACACTGTCTTCAATAGTGTAAAGATTAAACATTCTATTTTATTAAAGTAAACCATGGGCTTTGGTTTGCTTGTTTCCTCTACAGTTATGTCAAAGACTTCACCCGGAAATAACAGCTTTTGGGAGAATCTTATCAGTCACGTGGTAATGCTTAAAATGTGTTATCTACTGTCCTCTAGCATGGAGGGAGCAAGGCAATTATACAGGTGCCATTCTTCCTATGCAGATGATTTAAGTACATAAAAGCATCACTTTAGAGGAATCCCTTGTAACATTTATAAAGACTTTTCACCCCAAATAATGTTCAAACTAATACCAAAATCCCCAAACATCTACTTTACCAATGGTTATAGATTCTGTAATTTCATAGGCCGCTAATACTTCCCCCCAAAATGTTTCAGGGCTTCAACTAAGGGTTGCTAACTTAAATTTTGCTAAGTAAGAACTTTTTTTTTTTTGGAGACAGAGTCTTGCTCTGTCACCCAGGCTGGAGTGCAGTGGCATGATCTCGGCTCACTGTAACCTTCACCTCCCAGGTTCAAGCAATTCTCAGCTTCCTGAGTAGCTGGGACTACAGACACACACCACTGTGCCCAGCTAATCTTTGTATTTTTAGTAGAGACAGGGTTTCACTATGCTGGCCAGGCTGGTCTGGAACTCCTGACCTCAGGTGATCTGCCCGCCTCAGCCTCCTGAAATGCTGGGATTACAGGCATGAGCCACCACACCCAGCCATAAGGTCATTTTTTAAAAACCACCTTTCAGGGTACGAAAGAGTCTGTGTATAGTGGAGAGATCTGAATCCCCATCTCCCACAGGAAGTCAATTAATAATATCTAATAACACTGAATCAAGATATAATAGAACAAGCATTTATAAAGAAAAATCAAAAAGATGACCAGAATAAAGGGCAAGGTGGCTGCCTCTGGGGTAATGGACCTCAGGAATGGGGAGATGAGAGGAGGACAGGACGTCACTGCTCTTTTATTAGATCCTTGTTAGCTCCATTTGGCATTTTTCTCCTTTACTTTTGTGTTTTTTTTGTTTTTGTTTTTGCTTTGATAGACAGAAAAAAAAATAGTTTCAAAAATTCAATGAAGAAAATAACATTTTAAGCTCAAAACAGGGGGAAGCCTAGTCTTAAAACTGACTTGGGGCCAGGCACAGTAGCTCATGCCTATAATCCCAGCACTTTGGGAGGCCACAGCAAGCAGGTAACTTGAGGCCAGGAGTTCGAAACTAGCTTGTCCAACATGGTGAAACCCATCTCTACTAAAAATACAAAAAAAAAAAAAAAAATTAGTTGGGTGTGCTGGTGCCCACCTGTAATCCCAGGTACTCGAGAGGCTGAGGCACAAGAATTGCCTGAACCTGGGAGGTGGAGGTTGCAGTGAGCCAAGATTGCACCACTATACTCCATCCTGGGTATCCTGTTTGTTTGACTCAAAAACAAACAAAAATCACACTTGGATCACCAAATTACATAAAAGTTACATCAAAAATTCTGCATGCAGGCCAGGCACAGTGGTTCACACCTGTAATCCCAGTACTTTGGGAGGCCAAGGTGGGTCGATCACTTGAGGTGAAGAGTTCAAGACCAGCCTGGCCAACATGGTGAAACCCCTTCTCTACTAAAAATACAATAATTAGCCGGTGTGGTGACAGACACCTGTAATCCAAGCTATTCGGGAGGCTGAGGCAAGAGAACTGAACCCTGGAGGCAGAGATTGCAGTGAGCCAAGATTGCCCCACTGCACTCCAGCTTGGACGACAGAGCAAGACTCTGTCTCAAAAACAAAATAAAACAAAACACACTGACTTGGATAAATAACATAAAAGTCTCATCAAAAATTCTGTATGCGGGATCCACAGCCACCATGAACAGCAAAGGTCAATATCCAACACAGCCAACCTACCCTGTGCAGCCTCCTGGGAATCCAGTATACCCTCAAACCTTGCATCTTCCTCAGGCTACACATTATACTGATGCTCCACCTACCTACTCAGAGTTCTACCGTCCGAGCTTTGTGCATCCAGGAGCTGCCATGGTCCCCACCAAGTCGGCTACATTTCCTGGAGCCTCTCTGTATCTTCCCATGGCCCAGTTTGTGGCTGTTGGGCCTTTAGGTTCCACAATCCCCATGGCTTATTATTCAGTCAGTCCCATTTATCCACCTGGCTCTACAGTACTGGTGGAAGGAGGATACAATGCAGGTGCCAGATTTGGAGCTGGGGCTACTGCTGACAACATTCTTCCTCCACCTCCTGGATGCCCTCCCAATGCTGCTCAGCTTGCAGTCATGCAGGGAGCCAAGGTCCTCATAACTCAGCGGAAGGGGAACTTCTTCATGGGTGGTTCAGATGGTGGCTACACCATCTGTTGAGGAACCAAGGCCACCTTTGTGCCAGGGAAGACATCATATACCTTCAGCACTTCTCACAATGTAACTGCTTTAGTCATATCAACCTGAAGCTGCAGTTTAGATACACATTGTTGGGGTGTCTTTCTGGTGCCCAAACTTTCAGGCACTTTTCAAATTTAATAAGGAACCATGTAATGGTAGCAGTACCTCCCTAAAGCACTTTGAGGTAGGGAAGGTATCCATTCATAAAATGAATGTGGGTGAAGCCGCCCTAAGGATCTTCCTTTAATTTCTCTGGAGTAATACTGTACCATACTGGTCTTTGCTTTTAGTAATAAAACATCAAATTAGGTTTGGAGGGAACGTTGATCTTCCTAAGAATTAAAGTTGCCAAATTGTTCTGATTGGTCTTTAATCTCTTTTAAGTCTTTGATTTATATTACTTGTAATTAAATGGAACGTATTAAAAAAAATTGTGTATGCAGGCCAGGTGTGGTGGCTCACATCTATAATCCCAGCACTTTGGGAGTCTGAAGCGGGTAGATCACTTGAGGTCAGGAGTTTGAGACAAGCCTGGCCAACATGGTGAAATCCTGTTTCTACTAAAAATACAAAAATTAGTTGGGTGTGGTGGCAGGCGCCTGTAATCCCAGCTACTTGGGAGGCTGAGGCAGGAGAATCACTCAAACCCAGGAGGCAGAGGTTGCGGTGAGCTGAGATCACAACACTGCACTCCAACCTGGGAAACAGGAAGACTCCGTCTCAAAAAAAAAAGTGTGTATGCCATTAACAGGATTATACTTCTGCTGATAGATACACTGGATCTGTTTTTTAGAAATAAAGGAATCACATCCACGTGTAACCAAAATGAAAACAGACACATACCTTATACCCTTTACAAATGCTAACTCAAAATGGATCACAGACATAAATGTAAAATGCAAAATTATGAAACTCTAGAGGATTACATAAAAGAAAGGCTAGGTGGCCAATGACTTTTTAGATATGACACCAAAGCCACAATCCATGAAAAAAAGAATAGATAAGCTGGACTTCATTAAAATTAAAAATTACTGCTTTGTGAAAGACACTGTCAAGAGAATGAAAAGACAAGCCACAGACTGAGGGCAAATATTTCCAAAAGACATATCTGATAAATGACTATTATCCAAAATATATAAAGCTCCCTTAAAACTCAACAATAAGAAAACAAATAACCCAATTAAAAAACGGGCCAAAGACCTTACAGACACTGCACCAAAAAACAATATACGGATGGCAAATAAGCATGTGAAAAGATGCTCCACATCCTAGGTCATTAGGAAAATGCAAATTCAAATGACAACACCGTACCACTACACAGCTATTAGAATGGTCAAAATCCAGAATACTGACAACTCCACATGCTGGTAAGGATGCGGAACAACAGGAACTCTCATTCACTACTGCTGGGAATGCAAAATGGTCAGCCACTTTGAAAAATGGTTTGGCAGTATCTTACAAAACTAAACACACTTATCATATGATCCAGCAATTGTGCTCCTCGGTATTTACCAAAAGTTACAGCACACATTACACAGAGTGAATAAAACATAAACATACAAATAACTGTAAGGCAAATGTCTAAATAGCTAAGAAACAAAACCCTATTGGCACCACAAAAGTACCCTGGCTCACACTCCCTTCTGTCAGCACCATTTGCTCTTCCCTGCAAACAGATCATTATCATTCCTTGAATGGTGAGTTCTTCGGTTTAGGTTTTACTCCCTACATCTGCATTTTAAAACACAGCTGAGCTTTGCAGTTTGAACTCTACAGAATGAAAACTCACTCTCAGTGGTCTTTCGTGTCTTGCTGTCTTTCCTCACCTTTGTCAGGTGCATTCATGTTACTGTGAGCGCTCAGGGCTCGCTCATTTTCATCCCTGTAGAGTATTCTGCTGTGTAACTGCACCGCAACCAGTTTAATCATTCTACACTTGATGGGCGTTTGGGTTGTTTTCCACTTGGGGCACCTATAAGCACACATATTCCTGCACATGTATCCTGGGCACACATACCTAAAGTTGTCTAGGACACACTTCTGACCACAGACTTGCTGGCTCATAGGACAGGCGTAACTTCAACTTTACTAGACACTGCCAAGTGCTTTTAAAGGGGCTACACCAACAGACATTCCATCATACAGGAGTTTCCATTTTTCTACCTCCTCACCGTCACTTGGCATTAACAGAGACTAAACAGTGTAATCTTTCTAGTCTCTATTGGCATCTCCCTCTGTTTTGAATTGCATTTCCCTGACCACTAATGACAGTGGGCAATTTTCATGGATTTTTTGGCCATTTGGATTTCTTTCTTTGTTAAGTGCCTGCTCAGAACTTTTTTTATATTGGGTGAGCTGCCTTTTCTTTCTTGATTTAACCATTCTTTCAGCATTCCTTTAGCAGACATTTAATGAGCATCTAGCCCTGGATTTGGTGCTAGCAATTCAGTGATGAACAAGATAGCCTTGGGCCTCTCAGGAGCTTCTGGTCTTAGCACACAGGTTGCTGGAAGAATCTAAAATCAAAGGAGATAATAATGAACAGGAAAGAGCACTGTTCAATCGCAGAGAGCATGCTCACTTGTTATGCCCTCGGTCATGATGTCTGTCATCTTGCAGCAGGAGGACAGCATCCTCATGCTTAACTGATCCACCACCAGCACCTGCAAGGACAGAGAACAGCGTATGAGCTGCATGGCATCTGCTGTGATTCTTGCATCAGCTTACAGTGTCAGACTCTAAAAGGAGCTCCAGAAGTGCAGAAGACTGAAGAAACCATATTTCCTATGGACCAGAAGCCCACTGGGATACATGCTGGCATGTACCTTCCACACTCTAACCTAACCTTCTAGGAGTTAGAGTTTCCTCTCACTGATTTAATTTTATAAGCCTAAAAAAAATTGTTTTTATTTCCCACGATAAAGCACCCATTAAAAAAATGAAAAAGCCAGGCGTGGTGGCTGAGATCTGTAATCCCAGCACTTTGGGAGGCTGAGGCCGGCAGATCACCTGAGGACAGGAGTGCAAGACCAGCCTGACCAACATAGAGACGCTCCGTCTCTACTTAACATACAAAAACAGCTGGGTGTGGTGGTGCACACCTGTAATCCCAGCTACTCCGGAGGCTGGGGCAGAAGAATTGCTTGAACTCGGGAGGCGGAAGTTGCAGTGAGCCGAGATTGTGCCGTCGCACTCCAGCCTGGGCAAAAAGAGCGAAACTCT